GTCCAACAACCTCAAAAATCATTTATTACGAGAACATATACTTTCAAAATTACGAACAAGCCCCACATAAAAGTTTATTTGCGAAATATCTCTATCCTTTTTATAAAGTACAAATTTTGGCACAGTTTCTAAAGGAGAAAAAGTTCGAGCAAGTGATACCTCCGGTGAAAGTTGAAGGTTCCGAGAAGATAACCTTCGAAACGGCGACGAATGCATTACGGCGAAGCGTACATTTCTTCTCGGCGTTACAAGCCAGCGACGGTCACTGGCCGTCCGAAAACGCCGGCCCTTTGTTTTTCCTTCCGCCACTGGTAATTTTTCTTTGCCGGTTCAAAATCTGCTGCGAATCGTAGATTCAGGGATTAGGAAGAGAGAGAAGAAACAAAGATTTAGATATTGAAGAACATCGCAGAATGAATTTGGATTTGGGATTAGTGTGATTTAGGTATCGTGTAAATAGAATGTTGAGAGGAATTTCACTGAAATCAGAAAATTTTTTCGCTCTGATACAATGTGCAGGTGTTCTGTCTTTACATCACTGGACATCTTGATGAGATTTTCACTTCGGAACATCGAAAAGAGATTCTCCGGTACATCTACTGTCACCAGGTACAGTTTTTTCTACCTGGAGAGCATCGTTATCCGTCAATGGTTTATGTATTCACTCTGTTCATTTCGGATTTTCTGTCCATAGAAGGAAGATGGTGGGTGGGGATTTCACATTGAAGGTCATAGCACAATGTTCTGCACCGCTTTGAATTACATATGCATGCGTATACTTGGAGAAAGTCCTGATGGAGGCCATGAAAATGCGTGTACACGAGCCCGGAAATGGATTCATGTCCATGGTGGTGTCACCTACATACCTTCTTGGGGTAAAACTTGGCTTTCGGTAAGTGTTCAGATCATCTGGTAATCAGAGAATGTCTAGAGAAGTTGTATCGTAAGCGTCTTGTGTTGTCTACAGATACTTGGTGTATTTGACTGGTCTGGAAGCAACCCAATGCCTCCTGAGTTCTGGATCCTACCTTCTTTCTTTCCTGTGCATCCAGGTTTGTTTCTTAACATCTCGATTTGCTTCGACCAAACTTATGAGATCAAGAAACTAAATGCATCTAGTTGTGGTTTGAGCAAAAAACTGTTTTGGTGTACAAAGATTAAAGAAATGATCAACAAGTATTATACTAGTGTACTGTAGTGATTAATGAAATCCTGCAGCAAAAATGTGGTGCTACTGCCGGATGGTTTACTTGCCAATGTCGTATCTCTATGGGAAGCAGTTTGTTGGCCCGATAACGCCTCTGATTCTGCAACTGCGCAAAGAACTATACTTACAACCTTATAAAGAAATCAATTGGAAGAAAATCCACCATCTTTGTGCAAAGGTAAGAATCTTAGGCTGTATATCATCTTTCTTCTTTAGGATTTTCTTTCCCTGAAAAAAGCACAGAGACATTTTCCCTTCTCTACTTTAGGAAGATACATACTATCCCCGTCCCCTAGTTCAAGAGTTGATATGGGACAGTCTTTACATCTTCACGGAGCCTTTCCTTACACGTTGGCCATTAAACAAGCTTCTTAGGCAAAAGGCTCTTCAGGTGGCAATGAAACACATACATTATGAAGATGAAAATAGCCGTTATATCACCATTGGGTGTGTTCAAAAGGTAAGAACACCTAAAAACACCTTACCCTTAGGCAGAAAGCATAGATCATCTGGAGTTAACTACTATCACTTTCTGCAGGTACTATGCATGTTGGCTTGTTGGGTTGAAGACCCGAATGGAGATTATTTCAAGAAGCACCTCGCTAGAATCTCCGATTACTTATGGGTGGCCGAAGATGGTATGAAAATGCAGGTACGCCCAGGGAGATTGAAAATCAAGTTTTGTTATGTTTTCTAACCTTGAGTTGGTAAGAAATCGGAAATTTCTTGATCAGCACATATTTATGCAGAGCTTTGGAAGTCAACTATGGGATACAGGGTTTGCGATGCAAGCTTTACTTGCAAGTAATCTCTCCAGTGAAATCTCTGATGTACTCAGGAGGGGACATGAGTTCATAAAGAATTCACAGGTTCGATATCCCCTGCAGCATATACTCTAGAACTTCAAACTGTTTCTTTTGAAGAATGGAACATTTGTTTACAATTTGTAAAAACATTTGAAGGTTAGAGAGAACCCTTCAGGTGATTTCAGAAGCATGTACCGTCATATATCTAAAGGAGCATGGACTTTCTCAGACCGAGATCACGGATGGCAAGTTTCAGACTGCACAGCTCATGGCTTAAAGGTAAGCCAGCCACTCAAACCGAAGTATTGACATGTTCATTAGTGATCATGCGCATTAAATACTATATCCTTGCTATTTGCTGGTCTCATAGTGCTGCCTGCTGCTCTCGATGATGGCACCGGATATTGTTGGCCCCAAAACAGACCCAGAGAGACTATATGATTCTGTTAATCTCCTGCTCACTTTACAGGTGAGCAGTATCATCCATAGAACCAATATCTTCAAAGATTATCCGTTTTCAGGACGTGATAGTATAAGTTGTTTGCAGAGCAAAAACGGAGGTGTGACTGCCTGGGAACCCGCTGGTGCTCCCCAGTGGTTGGAAGTAAGAACTAAAACTCATGAAAATGTTTTGAAACAACTAAAAGGCATTTTTCAAAACGTTTATTTATGTTTTTGTCTTAGTTGCTCAATCCCACAGAAATGTTCTCCGACATTGTGATTGAGCATGAATACACTGAATGCACGTCGTCTGCAATCCAAGCATTGAGTTTGTTCAAGCAACTCTTCCCAGACCACAGGAAAACAGAGATCACCAATTTCATCAAGAAAGCCGTGCAATACCTAGAAAACATGCAAACGCCTGATGGTTCATGGTACACTAACAATTGTGAATGACTGTTTCCGAAACTGTACACAGAGATTCGAACAAATCACATTAATAACAACAGTTGTTCTCTTTGAAATTTTACAGGTATGGTAACTGGGGTATTTGCTTCACGTACGGTACATGGTTTGCTCTTGCAGGCTTAGCAGCTGCTGGTAAAACCTACAATAACTGTGTGGCTATACGCAAAGGCGTTCATTTCCTTCTTGCAGCTCAGAAAGACAACGGAGGCTGGGGAGAAAACTACCACTCATGCTCTGAAAAGGTATACACTTAACACAATCGATGAAATCAACTTGATGTAGTATCATTCATTCAACTATAATTCTCTTGATCTTTGCAGAGATACATAGCAGAAGAAGCGGCTATAGCAAACGTGGTGCAAACTGCTTGGGCTTTAATGGGTCTCATTCACACCGGGCAGGTTTAAACATTCATTATTCATCGATTAAACACACAATGAATGAATCATCTCTAAATGTGACAATTGTTTTACAAAAAACAGGCCGAGAGAGATCCGATCCCTCTTCACCGTGCTGCGAAACTTATCATCAATTCACAACTGGAGACTGGAGATTTTCCTCAACAGGTAACACTTTCCTATAACCAAATTGGCTAATAGTATGATCTCTAACTATTTCATCGGATCTTAGACGGCTTGAGTTACTCAAATTCGCAATTGATTTGCTCACGAAATTGGAAAGAAGCTAATTGTAGTTGGTTTGATTACTTATTCAGCAAGCAACAGGAGTGTTTATGAAGAACTGCACATTACACTATGCTGCATATAGAAACATTCATCCGTTATGGGCACTTGCAGAATATCGCGCACGAGTTTCATTAACATGAGCACAATTTGCTTATTTTCAGGGAATATTAATGTGAATTTATCATACCTATTACAGTATTATAAGATTTGTTATATGCAATATGCAAAAGGGTTGAATATATACGTAAATTCAGAGGTTTTTTGTTGTAGTAAAAAGCATAATCGTTTACATAATAAAGTTCTAGAATTTTTTTTTTTTCTTTTCTACCGTTCATTACAAGGCAAGTTTCAAGAGGTGATTAATGAAGAGAGAAAGAGACTAGTGTGATCGTTTAATCACCATTTTGTCAAACCACACAAAAATGCTTTTTTTTTTCTTTCGTATCTTTTTGTGTTTATAGAATCTGAAATTAGATTATCAGCCAAAAATAAAACCCTTTAAATAACAACAACCATTAGAAAAAGAAGAAGTAATTCTCGAACCCATTACAAAACCTGATTTGCTAACATCTATTTCCTTCGTTTCTTCCATAAAATATCTTTGACCAATCAAAATCTCTTTATAACAAACTTTCCTGAAATCAAGTGAAGTTTTTTTTCTTCTCTCTGTATCATTCAGACTCAAAAGGAGGATAC